AGGGATCGATCTTTTCGCGCGAAAGTGGCCATGATCCGCGGACACGTGCTGCGTATATCGTTGTAGTCGACTTTGCGAACTTCAATTTCATTTTCCGCGGTCCTCGGAATTTATATAGGTTTCTCAAAAAAATGAGAACGAAGACAGAAAATATATTTATTCGAGCTTAGATAAGCTCCGAGGAACCAAGGACACGGTGATCAGAATTGTATTCTGACACACCGTAGATTTTTTGTTAATATTTGTTAAATTGTATATACATATATATATTTATATATATGGCGAAAAGTTCTATAGTATCGTTGTACCCCTCTGAATTTTATAGTCGGATTTTTTTCTATTTCCAAATTTTATCGTGTGTACATGCGCGTTGGTAATTTATTATATTGTAAAATTCTATATGACTACGTGTTGATATCATCTCGTCGTGTGTGTTTGCGCGCGCGCGCGCGCGCGCGCGCGCGTTACGCAGAAATCGACTCGAACGTACCTTTGCGTATCTGCAACTGCCTTTTACCCACAATTCTCGAGGAGAACGCAAGAACATCTGCGATTTGCGCTCTCCTACGACCGTAACTTTCTCACGCTTTCATCGCGGGTGCGATGGTCTCGTCAGTTGGTTTCGAACATGTCGGCTCGACGTGTTTAATAGATGGGTTTACGAGATTAGACGTATACATAGAGGGAAACATTGAAGGGGAGGACGAGTGAGGAAGTCGTGGAGAAAAAAATTACGATATATAGAGAATATATATTATAAATATAAATATATATATTATATATTTATGCGTGACTCTCTTGCAAAAGGAGGTGTCGTGCCGAAGTTTATCTCATCTCGTTTTTTCGTTTGTCCCTTTGTGAGAGGGACCACCAGTCAATATATATCAATTATTCTTGTAAGTTTATCGCGTGACTCTTTCAAAGAGAAACCGATTATCGCAAAGGAAATAGGTAGAGAGAAAAAAGAGGTGGAGAGGGAGAAAGAAAGAAAGAAAGAAAGAAAGAAAGGTGGACAGACACAGAGAGCGGAAGTTTAATTTACGAGGCTTAAAAAGCAGACTGTACTATCGGAATATATATATATAGATTTTAATATATATTAAAGTAAAAAAGTATATATATACATACACACATCTATATATATATTAAAGAAAAGAATCATAGTTTATTATCGCAATTAAATTACCCACGGATGTACACGTATACAGAGAACGAGCGAGAAAGAGGGAAAGAGCGAGAGAGAGAGAAATACACACATATACAAATGATACATATTATATATATATACCTATTATTGCGATTATTATTATTATTATATTATTATTATATATTATATATATAAACAGAAGTTATATATATATATATCGATTATATTTTAGCGTTAGTTGATAATACCTATTATATATAACGTCGTTGCAGTTTCGAGACGATGCGTCAGAAAACGAGGGCAAAAAAAAACAAAGTAAAATGAAAAGTAATAAGTTAGGAGAGGAGGATCGACGATCGTTGAGGATCGATAGACAGACACAAGAGAGAACATTCTGTCGATCGCTCGAGCTCCGGAATTTTTGTAAATTGTAATTAGATGCGAACGCGTTGAATTAACGTGTGCTCTTCGTGAGGGATCCGATGTTTTAACGCGCAAGCAGTCCCCGGTTCGGTGCCTTTTTAAACGACATAAAATAACAACAATGTTGAAAAGAAAAAAGAAAGAGGGAGAGATGGCGCAAGGAGACAAAAGACGGAGGGTTGGAGAGGCAAAGATAGAGCGAGAGAAAGAGAGGTGGATGAAAAAAAAGTAAATAAATAAAATAATAATAAATTTTGTTATCGCGCGCGCGCGTCCCTTTCCCTTCGTCGAAGGGACGGATAGACGATCGCATTCTCAGTGCCAAATATAAGGTGGAGAGACTTTTGCTCTCCGAGAGGGTGAAGTAATAAAGAAACAAAAAAAATAAATAAATAAGGAAAGAGAAACGTGAGAGAAGAATTGAAAGAGGGTCGGAGGTTGAAAAGGAGAAAGGGCGAAAATTTTATAGGCAATTTTTCTAGAGCTGACGAGTCTTTTCTGACGCTGGGTAGACTTAGTATATTTTATATGCACTGATTGTTCGACTATGACTATCGATAATAAAAAAAGAACGGTGTTCAATAGATTGTAAATCCAGAGGGTTATTAAGTGTTGTCTCGCCGATCACCGAATCACTCGTATACACGGTGTTCCAAGAGAACGGTGCGTCGCTGCAGTGACCCTTGAAATCGGTAGTCTTGTGACTCTCTGGACAACTGTTGTCGTCGGGAGACCTTCGAGTTCCGAGAATTTGGATCGAGCAAATTGAATTCCCCGAAAGATTCTCTCTATCGGCCTCTCGCGGAACATCTTGTATATCTGCGACGACTTCTCGAGATCCGCGAGCGGCGAAATGGTTTTCGTTATAACGGCAAACGTTAAGCAAGAGAAAGATCCTGCGGGAGCTATGAGGAGAAATGAGCGTCCTCGCGCATCTCTGCGAAGTCGATCACACCCAACGTACAAGTAATAAGCATTAATATATCGTGGTGGTGATGATGATGATGATGATGATGATGATGATGATGACAGAGAGTGAGAATGAGAGTGAAAGTGAGAAAGGTCGAAGTATGAAAATGTTTTTGTTGCCGAACGTGTTCGCAGTCGTCATGGCTGCGAACGCGACGATTCGGCGGAAAAAGTGCGACAAGTGTACGTTCGGGGGAGAAAAGAAGAGGTTATCGCGGGAAACTGCGTTTTCCGCATTTCGTCCGCGAGACGGACAGCCGACGAGCGAATTCCGCGATCGTGCTGACAGTTTCGCAATTTTTCTCTAATCCCGTCTCGGCTTGAGAAAAAGAGAGAAAGGTAACTACCAATGCCACTAACACTGCGTAGTGATCGTGTGTAGTAGTAATCGTTGTTCTTATTTTCTTTTCTTTTAGCTCCATCCTTATTATGTTATTGTTGCGTTATAGTAATCGCGCACGTGAAGCCGCCGGTCTCGCCGATTTAGCAAAAAGAAAATTTGCATCGTGTTTCCCCGGACCTTGGGGACCGTAGAATTCCGCGTGAGAAATCCGGAGCCTTTCCATACTTGAGAATTTCTGCGAAATCCTTTTCTTTCAATAGTTGTCTGTCAAATAAATCGTTGCATGCCAATGATTAACCGGTAAATAAATCACTGCGATTCAATCGCTCGGAGAACAATTTATGTACGATTCGTTTAATCGTATCAGTAACATCACCGAGAAGAAGCGACTCTCCTTTTTTTCCTTAGCAGACATTAACACACATTCGTATCTCGCGGTCCGGGAGAAAATGTCAAGAGTTCCATTCACTAACACGACAACAAAGTGCCATAAACGAACGGCAGCTGCAACTGTCACGACGTTCATCTCACGGCGAGACTCTCGCGTGTTTCACGTGCGACGACCCGTCATTGGTGTCACCCCACAACACGATAGCCTGTATCTCGATTTGTATCGTATCTGTATATTTTATTTGTATGCCCCCGACATTGTCGGATGTCAAGAGAGAGAGAGAGAAAGAAAGAGAGAGGGAGAGAGACCCCGCACTCGTCACGAAGCACACCGTTACTCTTAGCCAAAAATTACTTTTATTTAGTTTCGTTTTTAGTGCACACTCGTCTCGTCGGCCGCCGTCGCCGTCGCCAAAATCACGAACGGCGACCTGTACCCGTGTTTTCCTTCGGGACATTTATTTTCCTCCCGTGGAACGTCCGACTTTTCGACATTGCGAGCGTCTCCTTTCAGAGATCATCATCGTGAGTTCGCAATGTATCGTCGAGAACCGAATCGAGTTCCACGAGTCGAAAATTCATTATTTTGTCTAAGGGGGGTGGGGGTTGATGGTTCTTTCTATTATTCTTTGAACGAAGGGTTGCGTCGGTGAAACCGCAAGCCGCCGATGAGACGATTCTCTAGACATTAAGTTTCCCTCGCCGCGGTTCGCTCTCTCGTAGCTACCGACTCGGTCCTGATGTTCTCCAGGGCGAGGGGGGGGATCTTCCCTTCGGGAGATCCTTTTCCCGTTCCGGAGAACTCGGGATCGTCGAGAGAGAAAGAGAGAGAGGAGCCCATCGCGACGGAGGGCCAGCGATTATTATTATTTTTTACCGATCTTTGTTTTGCATGTTGCGCATTGTTGTTTTATTTTCTTTTTCTCTTCGAAGGAGAGCAAAGAAATTGTGGAGAATAAGAAAACGATAAATATATATATTATGTATATGTGCATATGGTTTTTTTTCCGTTGCGTTTTTACATCGTTGCAGGATTTTTCTCATATTTTGTTCCTCCTCTTTTCTTCGTCTTGTTACAATTGCCAATTTTTCGTTTTTAATTCGATAGCAAATTTTGTAGATCTGTATCAGTATGATGTTTTATTGTACACATATATACGCATGTAATTCGCTAGAGAGCAACATTACGTTATCGTGATGCCACATCTCGTTTAATTCGCTAGCCGAGTCGTTTTTCGTTTTTCGCACCACCGGTCGTTTTGCATCCCGTTTTACTCCTCACGTGTTGTAAACCACAGCGTCGTATTCTTACCACATTTTATATTTGCGTCACAGCGTGGAGAATTATTACACGGCTCTTGCGGTATAATTTACTCTTGAACCGGTATCATTCGAACGTAGTTTTAATTTTAGTTTTAGATCGATCATACATGTGTTCGCTTTTACAAGCAAGTAGCAAAGTATTCAGGTCACTTTGCATGCGTCAACTTTTTTTTTCTTTCGTTTAAATATAAAAGCGCAGAAACTACGCGAACCACGTACGAAGGAACTTCGTGTAGGCCGTGTCACAAAGATGCAAAATCACCGTCGCATAGCCCCTGCGCTTTTATATTTCTTTTATATTTCTGCATTTCTCGATGGACTCATTCTGTTTAAATTATTCTCCGTGCAATCAAACGCGTCACGCGCTCAATCACGAGCAATTCACTAACGAGAATATTTCCGCAGAGTTCACGGCGAGCAAGAACGAGAGCAGCGGCGAGACTTGGAAGGAGAAGACACGCGGAGTCGGATCGCTGAATCATCCGTCGGGCTCGTCGCCGGCCGCGTCGATGGATCCGTCGTCGTCGCCGACCTCCTCGTCCACGTCCTCGTCGTCGTCGGCAGCGCGAGCGTCGGCGTTAACGCCAGCGACCACTGGCGCGACATCAACGACAACGACCAGCTCGTCGACGGCGATCCCGACGACGACGACGAGCACGGGCGGCGGCGGCGGCGGCGCATCCACCCGCAGCTCCTCGGTCTCGCCGGCCTCCAGAGCGCAGACGAACACCACGTCCGGCAATACGTCGATGTCGGCGCCGAGCGGACGCCAGGCTCCCAAACGACGTATGCGACGTCGCGCCACCTCGCAGTCCCAGGACCCGGCCGAACAGCTGACGGAGATGTCGGTGCGCGGCTTGAACCTCTTCCGCTACGCGTCCATCAACGAGGGTGTCTACCAGTGCACCGAGTGCGCGAAACTCGACATCCAGAAGACCTTCAAGAACAAGTACAGCTTCCAACGGCACGCGTTCCTCTATCATGAGGGCCACCAGCGCAAGGTGTTCCCTTGTCCGGTCTGCAGCAAAGAGTTCTCGCGGCCCGACAAGATGAAGAATCACATGAAGACCGTGCACGACTGCTTCATGCCTAAAGATTGCGTCGTGCCGTTCGGCTTCTTTCTGTCGCCTTAGCGGGCGGCGCGAGGGCGGGGTGGGCTGCCGACCGGCCCGGCGGTACAGAGGAACGCGAGGAAGATCGCGCACGCGGTCGCCAGGGCGACCGGTGCTGCGCCGTCCAGGACGAGCGCGAGCGCTCTCAGACGCGGAAGTCGCTCCTGAATGGCGTTCGTGATAGCGACGGCCGGAGGTAGAGAAAGAGAGAGAAAGAGAGTAACATGGCCAAGAGATCTGATAAGATTATGGACAGCGATCTACGGAGAGGGTGGAATCGTTAAAGAATCGGAGTTTACAATTCTTAGATCAGAAATCTGCAAATTCGCGAGATAAATTGGGAGATTTCTCGGAGATTATGAGGGAAAAGTTCACACTAATCGGAGGAAGGAAAAACGGCGTTGTGTAAAAATTAGTAATGTTAGATTAGGATTAACATTTATGATATAACCGCGCATACTCGGCACGAATACGAGCGGTACGGTGTGTAAATAATATTACGTCGAATGTGCGTGGATCGCTGTCCATTTAACGGTGAAACTTCCAGGCAGGAACTCGCCGTCGCTATCGACAATCGCGTTCCCTATATATGTAATATGTCATCCTACGCCGATGGACAATGCTCGCGGACCAATCGCGTAGCCCATCTCACCCCCGCGATGATTACGATGATGACGAGATGATGATTCCGATGTTCGCCGTGTTCCTCGGAAAAGACAACGAGGAGCCTTCCCATTCTGTGCGTGGGAAGAGGCGCGAAATCGCTTCCTGAAGAGAGGGAAAGATCGAGCGAGCGGAAGAGCGAGCTCAAGAGGGGAGTTGAGAGGAGGAGGGACGGACAGTGATGCGCGATTGACGCTGGAGAATGGAGAGAGACGCGAGTTTTTGGCGAACACACACACACGGTCTCCTCCTCTCCCTCGCTCCTATGTACATTAGTATTATATGATCTTCGACCTGTGCAATAACGAGCTCGATCCTCGCTCGCTCGTCGAATCGTAGCGTAGTTCTGGGTGGAGAACGCGCGGAAAGAACGTGGTGCACGTGGACGAGCCGAGTGCTAAAGACTAACAGGGGTATCTTTGTACCTTGAGAAAAGAGAAGAGAAAAGACACAGAGTGTCGTTTCTTTGATTATAAAAATCTTAGAGATTGTAAACCCACCATTTTTGTTTGTTATAAAATTTATAGTTTCCCGAAATTTTACCGCGAATTGTGTTCTTCAAGCACTTCGCAAATCAATCGACGACAATAGTTTGTCACGATCATATACGATCATATATAAAAATTACAAGACTTGTATAATGAGCGGGAAAATGGATACTGTGACTCGTTTTCTGAGGCGCGGATATTTAGGCGATATTTTGCCGTTTGTTACACTCAATTGAGACGCATATAAACGCGCGATTACGAAATATATCGAGAGAAAAAAATAATTGTAGTGCGACTGAGACTCAGAGAGTCGCAGGGTAAAAGTGACGATGAGCGAAGTGCTATTAGAATCATGACATTAGAGCGACAAAGAAATAAATATTAATCAACAGACATTCGTCCTCTGCGTGCACCGCGAAGCGAGATCCTACTTCTTGTACCCTGAAGAAGTCATCAACTTGAACGTCTTGCTGGATATCGGTATCAAGTAACGTTCTAAGAGCGAGAATCGTTTTGTTTTTTTTTTTTTAACGAAAATATACTCAAATCAGATTCCGAGTGAGTGCTTTGAGTGCTCATTGACATTTATAATGCTAAACGGTAGAATTAAACAGACATTTATTTCCTTCGAGGGGAAATTAGGGGAGCTTGGCGGCTGTCTTCAGGGCGTATCGAGAATCCGCGACGAGGTAGTGAAATCTTTCCGACGAGGAATGATGAATAGTGAAGTTAAAGATTCCAATTCGATCTTACACTGGCTTCCGGCTCCGACGTTTCACGAACGGTAGTCTCTTCCACGAGAATTGTTTCAATTCGAGCCTCCTTTCTCGCTTCGATATGTCTTTCTTTGAATTTAAATATTTTGGCCTTAACGAATTGCACTTCTATTGAAGTCCATTCTTCAGAATGCGTGGTCACATAAAGAATGTCGCACAAAATGGATGAAGTAGGTGAAGCGAACGAAGAAACGAGGAAGATACAGAACGTATCGTGAAACGAGCCGAGCTAATATTTTAATATATACATATACATGCGAAGGAAAAGAATATAAAAGAAAAAAAAGAGAGAACACACAAGAGGAAGACACACAGATTGTATATTTATTAGAAAAGTATATCCAGCGTGAATTATCCAAGAAAAGGATGTCCAACGGAGAAAAGATGAAGAGAGTGGGAGAGAGAGAAAGAAAGAAAGGAGAAATGGTTTCTTCTCCTTCCTCCCCCGAGTTTCTTCCTGTTTTTTTTCTTTTCATCTCTTCCGGAGGAGTGTATCATAGGCGCATTGATTATTAATTTTTACTAGTTACTTGCTATTATCGTTTATTCTCGCACTTGCTATATGTTAGTTACAGACCGCATTATTTTTATTGTCACCCTGTTATATATTACAACTATTATTATTATTTTTATTATAATTATTAGCACATTTGTTCGGTAAGAATTATTAACTTTTAGCCCTGGACCAGCAAGAAGAAATTGCTTATTATCGCACTAATTAATAATAATAATATTATTACTTTTAGTATATATGTATAAAAGCGAACGCACAGGCGCACACGCACGTAGGACAGAAGACGTTCTAATATCTATGTGTACACCGATCAAACGGTGCAGATGTATGCGTCGGATCTTATTTGATCTGTAGCGTCCGTATAGATCCAAGCAGCGAGATGTCGGCAGCGTTGGGACGTGCCGACGTCGAGAGAATGCATGAGTGAGTGAAAGACAGAGAGAGAAAAATAAAAAACGAGCATGTGCAGGATGGTATCATCAATCAATTCTTTGAGAGAGTACAGCTTTCGCGCTCGAAAACTTTTACGTCCTTGTCAATTCTCTGCGAAGACGAAGTCGATCCAGAGCGTGAAAGAGCTTTCGAGGGAGAACCGAGAAACGAAAGCAGTATTTTGGTCTTCCGCATTGACGTTTATTCGTACGCGTGTGATGTGTGTGTGTGTATATGGCTTGAGTAAATATGTTGAGAGAGAAAGAAAATGAGGGAGAGAGGGCGGCGGGAGGAGAAAACGAAAAATTAAATATGAAAGTGTGAATACGAGAATCGTGTGTGAATGTAGAAAGAGAGTTATTTAACAGAATATATATATATATATATATACATATATATATAGAGAGAGAGACACAAAAAGAGATATATCATATGAGAGGGAACGTGCACGTGCTTGTGATATCTTCCTCTGCAGGAATTCGAGGTCGCGAGATATCAAAGTCGCAACTCTTGATAGCCTCTATTCGTACACAGTCCACGTAGATATGTAAAAATTATTTCAAATATTATATGTGTCAATTAATCATTTGTATAATTATACATTAATTAATTATAAATTAATTGTACGATAATTTATAAAGCGAGAGAGATTGATAATTCGATCTTTCCGCTTGCTTTCGTGAATTTTTCACTTCGTAGATGCAAGCATTTGTAACCCGTGTGTAAACTATAAGTCTAAGTGCAACAGATCTCTGTAGAGGATTTTTCATCGTTTGCAGTCTCAAGCCGGGATATTCTTGACAAGATTGCTGCACTGCTTACTTCTTAATTCAACAATGAGTATGAAAACATTTAAGAACATTATCGTTTATTGGTATGCAAAAGTTTATTCGTAAGAATTCTTTACTCATTGCTTTTTTGCATCAGAAATTAACTGAATTTTTCTCGCTTGCTGCGCGAAAATAATTAGATTAACAGAAAATATGTACCACCGGTGATTCGAGATTGCAAAAAGTTTGGATTCTCAGTATCGAAATTTTCCCGGAAAGTTATTCTGATGATTCGGGTTTTTTAGTGATGTGCTACTGTTGTGCTATATGATGTAAAACATCTTGAGTTTCTCGGTCAACAGTAAATTCCGTCAATTAGTGTCATAATGGTTAAGCGACTAATTGATATCTCGATGCGAGATCCTAAGAACAGCACATTTCATATTGCTACGTTTAAGAACGTCGCGTTTCCTCTCTACTTTCCAAGATGTCGCGAATCAGCGAACTTATTTCTTTAGTTTACAGTGTAGTTTCATATGACGATTATTATTATTATTATTACTGCGTTACAATATATCTGCTATTTTTTTTT